CTTGGTCATATTGGTAGGAAGACTTAGAGGAACGCACCTTGTCCTGAGTCCATTGTATGCATAATCCTTTCCAAAGTTGGACCATGGACGTGGTACATTCCCAGACGTTTCGCCGGCATTGTAGTCGTAATCGTCAGTGAGTTTTAGTATTCGTAACACCATATTACAACCAGTCAAAGAGACAAGTGAAGCACATCCTTTGACCAAACGTGTGCTAAACAATTATGGTATCTCCCATTCTGCCCTGGCATATTCACATTTCCTATATCCTCCAATAACGCCTTCACTGTCACAATATGTTACTTGCCCTATTAACTGTGGTACGGTGTGCCCTTTTGAGCGGCTTTCATGAGAACTCTCCGCACTCCACCCTGGCCTTCTCACCGCCCTTCATCCTTGGCTTGGAATGTTCATCAGAGGCTGCCATATCGTTACGCAGTCCTCCTTTCCTAGGTCTTACCACAGTCTCTCTCTTGCCTGGTAAGATCCGTCTGCCCTCTCCCGGAGTCACATATTTCACTCGACCCCTGCCACCACATCTGTGCCATCCGAGGCGTTATTGGCCCTACCCTGCGTCTGAGTCACTAATTCGAGGCTAAAGCCTCTGAGTAAGTGTCATGGTCAGGCCTTAGCCACATGGACCACGTCTTTTAGAAAAAACTACTGTCAGCCCACTAGCTCCCATTGCCGCCGCATCTATCCTGTTTCTATCTCTAACACCAAGTCTATGACTTCCCATGCCCTAGTCCCTTGTGTGCCTACCCACAAATTTTGTGGTACTGCTTGCTTTGGTTAGGTTCAATGTTGAACCACAACGTTTGTGGTTTGGCGCACAAGAGACTAGGGCATAGTTAGTGATAGGCTTGGTATCAGAGATAGAAAGAAGATAGAAACAGTGGAAGCTAGAGCTGGTTGGCTAACAATAGTCGTGATTCAAGGATTACTTCTATGATCAAACACAACTATTTTGAGCCAAATAGCTTTAGTCTCCACCGTGTCTTTCCTATTTCTATCTCTGATACCATGTCAATCACTTCTACGTCCTAGTCTCTTGTGTGCCAACCCACAAATGTTGTGGATCCATTTATTTTGATTAGGCTCACTAAAGGCGTCTCCTCTTTGCTTCTTTTTGTTATTTTCTCATCCCCCTGCGATCTCTTTTCCTAAAACTAAGAATATTACCTTGATCTAATCGTCTTCTTTTTGCTGGTCTTGCTGTTGCCTGGTCTTTTTCGAGTTTGTTAAGGCATTATGCAAAGTATTCGCTGATCCTGCCTTCTTCAATTCTCCTCTTTATTAGGTTTCTCTCGGTCAGTCTTTGGATGGCCTCTCGGATCTTGCGTTTTCTCGTATTTTCACCACATGCAGCCAAGCTTTCTGTCGACTTCCTCTTGATTTCGTGCCTCGCTCGTGCAATGTGTTCCGCTATTTCGGATCTTTTTGTATCACTGTTTCTGCAGAGTCTTTGATGTTCCTTGATTCGTAGACCGATTCTTATTCCTGTTTTACCAATATACTTCTGCTCACAATTTCCGTGCATTCAAGTCTGTCAGTCTTTTTGTGTTGCGTTGGCAGACTGGTGAAAAGTGTTTTCTTCTCCTTTGTTATCATCCTGCTATTACATTTCCTTAGTAATGGTCGCAATTGTTGGCTCAGTTCTGATGAGGGCAGGCAAATCCACTTCTGGTCGCCCTCCTTATTCCTCATCGGATTTTCATTAAAACCAAGTTGAAATCGGCCCTTTATAATCTCTACATTTTTTTCTATAAATGCTTTGGGATATCTGTTACTAAGGCAAATCCGTGTCAGTTTGTCCAACTCCTTGTTCCAGAATTCCTTGTCCGTTAGTCGTAAACTTCTGATGATCAAACTCCTCAGTATTCCGATCTTCAGCCTGTAGTTATGATAAGACTGAAAAGTAAGGATTATTCCCCCATACGAATTATTTCCGTATAGTCTCCTCATGAGTGTCCCCTTGGAGCGTATGACTTCAATATCCAAAAAGGGTAGTCGTTCATCCTCCTTCACCTCCATTGTGAATTTAATTCTTTCATCAAGTTGGTTAATAAAATCGAGGAATTTATTTAGATTTTCATTAACATGTGACTAAATTGCAAATTAGTCATCCAAATATCGCATGTGCGCTCTTGGTTGCATTGGCGACTTCGCGATTACCCTTTCCAACTTGTCCATGTACACATTTGCCAAAAGAGGGAACAGTGGAGATCACAACCGAAGTCCAAATATTTGCTCGCAGATACTGTCGTTAAATGTAAAATATGTGGTCCTTACTGTCAGGTTGATCAGTCGTGTTAACGATTCTTTCCGTATCCGTTCTGCCTCTAGGAGGTCCTCTTCTCACTCCAATATCTTCAGCAAGGCGCTTACCGCTTTCTCGCCTGATATGTTTTTGTACATGGATTGTACATCGGAACTCACCAACAGTCCCGACCCCACAAACCCAATGTTCTGGATCCTTTGAAAAAATTCATAAGAATTCTTGACGGTATTCAAGTAAATGAATTTCGCTAGTTTATGCATTGCTCCATGCTTGTTGTTGACTATTAGTCTTAGAGGATTTCCTTCCTTATGTATCTACGGTAGTCCGTAGGATGTCGGTAATCTTACGTCATTTTTGATTAAAGATTTCATTCTCCATGTGTCAATTACCCCATTATTT